AAGAGCATTTTGACCAGCTCCATCACCGTTTGGTATGGCAGCACTACTGCTATGGACCGCAAGTGCCTGCAGAGAGTGGTCAAGACTGGGGAGAAGATAACCAGGACTCCACTGCCCTCACTGCAGAGCTTCTACCACCGCAGAGCTCGCAGGAAAGCTACCTCATCCTCAAAGACCCCACCCACCCCCAGCATGAACTGTTCACACCTCTACCCTCAGACCAGAGGTTTAGAAGTTTGAAATGCAGGACTTCTAGACTGACAAACTCAAACCAACTGCCATCAGACTCCAAACAGCTGACAGCAGTTTACAATCAGGAATTACTTTATGTAATTCCACCTGTACTGTTTACATGCTCAGTTGCACATGCATAATTGCACACCCATTGCTGACTACTGCACATACAACTCCGATGTAGCATACATTATCTTAGTGTTCCCATTATATTTTTATTACATTTCTTTTCACTCACTGTTTAAAGTGTCTTTAGTTTTTGTGCTACTATTTATGGGGAGGCGTTTGTGGCTGCCTCGGTTCCGGACAACCATGACCGTCTGTGCACAGCTCCCCCTTTCATCTTTTTTTGAACACAATGTCAGTTGCATACAATTGTATACAACTAGCTTGTATACAATTAATTTGAATTACTGTTGGGCTGATTGTGACTCTATCATAGATCAATAAGATCATATACTGTACTTTTTGTATTATTCTGGTTATGAAAAGTAACTAGTAACTGAAGTTATAAATGTAGCAAAGTAAAAAGAATATTTGCCTTTAAAATGAAGTCAAAGTAACAAAATGAAAATACTAAAGTACAGATACCTCAAAATTGTACTTGAGTAAAATTAGTTACTTTCCACCACTGTTTAAAATAAATTTAAAAAGTGTTATTATGAGTTAACTGTGGGGAAAAAATGTGATTAGATATTTCTCTAAACAATTATCAAAATATTTGTCAAGTGTACTGTAGAAGCGCGACCTCACAGTCAAACTGATCCTGCCTGTATCTTCACTTGCACATGCGGGCACACACACTCTTATGTAGGCCAGTTAAGTGTGTGTGTGTTTCTGGGGTCATATTGGGATCAGTGAGAATTCAAACATTATTCCTATGCAAACAAAATAAAATAAACATGAGATTACCAAAGGATTTGTGATTGCAACAACTTTCTCGGAACAGTGGTATGTTATCTGACAGAAAACCAGGGGTGCCAATATTGTTGGCAATGACTATAGCTTGTGTGACTGAGGTAGAGAACCTGGGGCCCGTTTCAAGAAGGAGGTTTTGTTGAAACTCTGAGTTTGTTAACCCCGAAATGAGGAAAACTCTGAGTTTTCAGTTCCAGAAACGGAGGTAACTTAAACCCGTGAAAGCGGGGTAAGTTAAACCCGTTTCAAAAAGAGAGGTAATCTAAACTCGGAGTCAGTTACTATGGCAACTTACTCTGTGAACCTAACCTGGTTGGGAGCAGGTTTTGTTCGGGAAACTCAGTTTCCTCCGGGTCTCCGCCCTTTTTTAAAGTGAAAGGTGTTTAATACCTCATTTAATCCTTCAGTGCATTCATAGATTGCACACGTTTCCGTCACGCAGAGACCAAAATGGCGTGTCCATTCATAGAGGATCCTGTAGATGAGGACGCTGTATTAATTTTCAGGGAATTGCATTTACGTCGGGAGAGGATATTGAGGGCACGAGTTGATTTTTTGTCATATCCCCATGTATTTTTATTTGAGCGGTACCGTTTGTCTAGAGAGTCCATAACATATATCAATAATCTTATCCACCCATACATCAGACACATCACCCATCGTGGCCGTGCTCTTACATCCGAGCAGCTGCTTTGTGTTGCGTTACGATTTGTTGCAAATGGCAGTTTGCATCGGGGATGCAGAGCCCATTAGTAAGGCCACAGTATGTAGAATAGTTCGGAAAGTGTGCCTCACCCTCAAGCGCTTTCTGTGAATTTTTGTTGTGTTTCCTGGGCACAAACCCCTCAGAGTCATTAAAGAGGAGTTTCACAGGATTGCAGGTTAGTGGTATTGAATTCGTTTCAGTAAGGCTAATCTGAAAAATGATGATCAGTTAATAACATCTTGCTGTGACCTCTGGAAATAAACTAATAATTAGAATCCCCTTCAGGATTTCCTAATGTGGTTGGATGCATTGATGGGACACATATTCCCATCCATGCACCTCTATGAAAATTAAAATTCAATTCTTATATTATTACATCAGTGTTGGGTCAATTTTTAAAAAAGTATTTTGATTAATGTAATAATTACTCTCCATAAAACGTATTGGATTATTTATTAATCATTACTTTACAAATCCCATATCAACCACAATAGGAATTTTAAGAAAGGGTAGACATAAAACTGCACTTTTAATTCGTACAAAAATCGGTATTTTATGCAATTACTGAAGTTACTCATTCAATTATTGAAGAATTAAGAACCATTCCTTACTTTACAAGTGACAAATAATAACAATACTAACATTATTTAGTAATTACTTACACTGAACACTGTATGATTAAAATGTAAACATACGCATTGACTTTCTTTTTCACCGCTGCAACCGTGTTGCTTTTTTTTTTACGAAATGTGGGCTCGTAGTCACTATATGCTTGTAGTAGCACATCCATTTCTGTCGGGTAAAAAACCCAGACCTATTTTTGCTTGGTCCTGTTGCCATGGTGACTCATAGTGTCTTCACTCCATTGTTCAGGGCTTTTTATAGTCGCGTGGCACGCGCCTAACTCTGAGTCAAACTACTCAGAGTTGATTAAACCAACTCTTTTCAGCTGTTCTGAAACCGAAAACTCCAAGTTTTCCAACTCTGTGTAAGTCAACTCAGAGTTCAGGTTTGAACTCTGAGTTTGTTAAACCTCCTTCTTGAAACGGGCCCCTGGTCAGCTCAATGTAAAAGCAAACAAACAGCTGACTCCTTAGTTCTGGCTCTGCTGTACACTTTCTAACGCTAACAGCAGTATCCCTGCACAGGATTCCATTTCTACTATGCATCACTGACACTCTCAGTGATAGTCAAGGACGGCAGTGATGCTTGGCACACCAAGTGTGTTAAGGAGGTTTAATGGGAACTGTGTTTGCTACACAAAACACGCAGTGTGAATACGTTTTAGTCAATAAATCCCATTTTACAGAGAGAGGTAATAATATTATAAATGACATGGGATTCCCTTCATATTTTGAAGAAATGTTCTCAATCATTTAACCCATTCCCTATAACAAACACGAGGGTGGGTTGCACTGCTTCAGCCTATTTCAACAAACTCCTGTGGTACATTCTTTTCACCACTAGGTTGTTTCATGGGTACTTGAAACTTTGTCACGAACTATTTTTGCTTCAAATGGGTGGAAACTTACTTCAACAAGGCTTCATCTTTCCACCACTGTATATTGTATATTCTTTAAAATAAAAGCTAAATTAAAATTACATCTGTTGAATCGAAATCACACTGAAATGTCTTGTTACAAATTTTACTGTATCATTTTTGTATCTAATCTAATATGTATCAAGCTACATATCAAATCGTGTTAGAGGGAGAGATGCCCCTACTTCTGACACAGCTAGATAGCAGCACTATGTCACTGAGTTATGGAGTAGTGCGGCATGGTAGCACAGTGATCAGCACTGTCGCCTCACAGCAAGAAAGTTCTGATTTTAAACTCTGACCGACCCGGTGCCTTTCTGTGTGCAGTTTGCATGTTCTCCCTGTACCTGCGTGGGTTCTCTCTGGGTACTCCGGCATCCTCCCACAGTATAAAAATATGCAGTTTAGGTTGATTGCTGACACTAAATTGCCAACAGGAGTGAGTGTGTGGTTGTCCAAGTGTCAGCCCTGTGACAGACTGGTGACCTGTCCAGGATGTACCGGGTCTCTCACCCAATGTTAGCTGGGACTGGCTCCAGCACCCTGCGACCCTCTTCAGGATAAGTGGTATAGATAAAGGATGGATGGATGAGTTATGGTGTATTCACACTACAGCAGAAAAACGCCGTTATTTTGAATGTAGTGCACTGTGCACAGAACTGAGCAAGGATGCGCCAAGAGTCCAAATTTTGACTCGTTATGCTGACCTCTGTGCACATAGCCAACCACTGTTTCACCCTGGCTGTGCCTATACTCATAAAATCCCAGTTACAATATGTAACCAATGCTCTGAATTTTCCCAAACTGTACAATATGATCCTCATGTCGAGATAAAGACAACCCATATAGGAAAATATCAGCATACAAGTGCCGTTAACAAGAACGTAAAAAAAAAATAAATAAAAGGCCTAAACCTCCAACACGTAAAATTTGCTATCTACTGCTAGCATCATTAGCATTGTAGCTACGCCATGTTGTACAGCGCCCCCTGGGAATTTCTACACGTGTTTTGGCGGCGACCCGCGCGGAACACTTAGAGCAATACCCTTGTTTTTCTGATAAAATATAACAATAACTTTACGGCTTGGGTAAAAGTGTGGGTGTGGAGTTGAGGACATTGAAGAGGGCGGCGTTTTACTATGTAACACTAACGTTACTTATTAACAAAATATTTTTACTTCTGAAGCCTGACAACCTAATAAAAGACTGGTTTATCTCGGTAGTGGTTAACGTAAAATTGGCCCAAACCTGGCGTTGGTAGCTGTTACCGAGCTTCCTAATGCTAGCTTTAGCTATTTAGCTGTTGTGGTAAGCAAGGCACATGAATGGAAATTCAGCTGTTATCTGTCTTCTGTTATCTTAACACTCGTTCACCCAAGTTACACCAGTAGATACCTATATACGCTCTTTAAATGATGCTGGGGTAACAGTGGCGCAATAGTGTTGTCATTAAGGTCAAGTATAGAAGTGTAAAGTTGTTACTGTCAGATAACGTTATGGTAAATTTATTTTCTGGAAAGGCATCGGCTTAGCAACCTTAGCTTAGCATCCACGACGCTGACAATTAGCATTTGGAGGAAAAAAATAAGTGACTCTTCTTACCGTGATCCTGGTTAAATCCAGCATAAAGGAGCCCATTCCCGTGGGGATTAGACGGTAATAAATTCATTATTTTGACTGAAGAACCAAATGCCAGATAACGCTAACAAGCTTAATTTAACTGCTGCTGTCTGGTGAGTTAACCATCTCAGGAGTTTGCTAACCAGGAAGAAAGAAAACCACTGTTTGGAGCAACATTACGTTGTAGCCAGCCGCCTCCTCCTTCTTCTTCTTCTGGTGTTTATTGGTGGTTTGCAAGCCAACTTAAGGTGCATTACCGCCACCTGCTGGGCTGGAGTGTGGAACGCTAATAGCGCTGTAGGAATACTTAAAAAAAAATTCTTAGAACTGCATAAACTACTACAGTCTATCCAAAATACCCATATCTGATAAATAACTAATAACAACTCTATATGTTGTCTTACACTTGCTGCCCAAAAGACCCTCTAGTGATATATTAGTTGTTATACCCCAGTTCTTTTATTGGACAGATCTGAATGACGAAGGAGTCCGTCTTTCTTCATTTAATGCTGATTTATTTTAAACCAAAAGTAAAAATTACAAAGAGGGAGGGGTTCTGGCCACACCGAATACATTTATAAATTTTGGGCTAACCCCTTACACAAAAATATTACAAAACATCCTGAGATGGAGTCAGTCCGACGGCTCCATCTCTTATCTTATGCTCCACATGTTTCGAGCACTATCCATAACAAAATGAAAAATTTCAATGTGTGTGTTTTGTCATGTGGTGCATAACTAAAACATTCAGACATAATAGTCTAACACAGGATTAATACAAGAAAACAATTGGTGTCAAGGTACACTTTTCAGAATCAACATTCTATCTGTCAACCTTGAAACAGAGCAGACTAGAGCAGACTTTAATTCTTACTAAATTGCATTACTAAAACATTTGATTCAACACATTAATGTCTAATAATTATCTGACAGATTTACTAATTTCTAACAAATTCCCCCTTTTGACACGATTTTTATCATGTCAACCTAAATTAAATGTCCCTGTTGTCCCCAGATTAGGCATCCAAGGAGGGGAGAGGCCCCCCTTTCCACCCCCTCCAGGGAAAGCCCAGAGCTGAGTACCTAGGGCAAAAATCTGAAATAATAACATAAAATAATAGCATGTAAGCTGGTCTTCGTTGCTGTGGTCCAATATGTAAGCTTCTATGTGAAAGCTGAGTATTCATTGCAATTATCACATATTTCAGACAAAAACGTGGAAATGTCTAAACAACATGTAGCAAACAATCATTGGTTAATCATAACATTTGCAGGAGGAATCCATTATGCTGGAGACTAAAGATCATCTTCCAGTATCACACATTTAACACAAAATTCTACTCAATAATCAAAATCAATCACACACCTATGAGTCCACACCACATATGTGTATGCAAGAATATATGTGGGTATGTGTTAACCCTTAGCAATAATATGTAGGGAGGTCACGGTCTTCTTCCCCATCCAAGGGGTTTTCTTCAATCTCAGACTCACCGGGCTCAGTGAGTGAGATCATGGGCATGGTTTCCCATAGAGATTGGTATTGAACCATCTCATAGGCAGGAGTCAATGGGTATCTATTATCAATGGCAGTGGTGATACACTTTAGACAAAGATGCCTAATGCAGGGGATGCAGCCGCATCCACACAGGGTCAGCAAAGTAACTGCTGCTACAAAAGATGTAAGCAAAAAAAAACAATAAATTTTTCCACTTGCCAAAAAATTTTTCAAACCAATCATCTATGTAATTTTGAATTCTTGAATGTTCAACCATCTCTTCTGATAAAATTTTTAACTCTGTCAGGGCCCTAGCATTGGAGCCATCAGGAGCAGTGTTATTAGGAATGTAAGTACAAACACCCCCTTTTCCAGCCAGAATGAAGTCTAATGCCAATCTGTTCTGATACAACATAAGAGAAGTGGCTGCCAGTTGCTCCTGAAACCCAACAGCTAAATCTCTGGTAAGATTAGTAAGACGCTGAACATTAAAATGGACATAATTTATTTGATCTACATTTTTATTTATGGTTACCCACCAGAAGAGGGCAGACTCAAAACCTACAGCCACCTGATCAACTAATTTATATTCATCAGGAACACCACATGGGACACCTATTATCAATATACGTAAGTGGGTGAGAATTTAGCTGGATCAAATATGTCCTGCTGTTTTGAACAGTGTTCCTTAAGGGGATGACTAGATCCTGACAGTATATCTAATACAGAAGCATTTCCCAGGGTAACTGGTGCTATAAGTGATATCATTGTACAAGTACCAAACCAGTCAGGAGGGAGAGTATTAAGCAGTCTATGTCCACCACAATACCAATACACATCAGATCTGGCAAAAGTCAAGCGTGTTGCATTGGCCCATGTGGTGAGATTTAATGTAATGGTGTACCAATCTGAGGAAATGGTACCTAGATTAGTTCCTGTTGCATTAATTTTGGTTACAGAAGTATAATTATTTTTGACTGCAGTAAAGATTGGAGGTACTGCATCTCTAGGTGCCAATGGGTCATAAATTTCCAAATCTCTGTAGGCTGGTGTACTAGGGTTCTCAGTCATATGCAGTGTGTATAATTAGCATCAGATAAGAGAGAAGGCACTGTAAGCAAAGCAGGACAAGATCCTGCACATACAACACAAGAGGTGTTAACACTTGACGTGCTGCATTTTGAACCCATTCAAGCCAATAATTTTTTGCACAAATCCTGTTTCTATCACTAATTTTTTCTGCAGATCAGATGAAGTAGGAGTGTAGTGTGTCATCTTTTTTAGAGCCATCACGAGTGTATAAATCATACAGACTATGGTTATAGCTCGAATTGGTTCGCACAATTATTGTGAATTCCCCTAAAGGATCGGCACCTGAAACATAAGCCCCGAGTACAAACATGTGGCCGTTATCTGTCAAACAGGGGTCTTGAAGTGTTATGTACAAAGGATTACATTGATTTAACTTACAATTATCAGGGGCTGTTCCCTTGACTATAGATAGCCAATCTAACAAGGTCTTGCCCTCACATAAATGTTTCTGAGCCTCAGTCGGTCAGTATCCTCAAGATGCAGGTCCAGTGTTCCATCCTATATCCCCCCAATAAGCACAGAACTTAGAACGAAATAATGACCGCATATTAAACTGGACATAGGACAGTATACAAATGTATTTATCAAACTGTCTTAATTGCTCTTGCTGAGGCCACCCAGAGCAGTCAAGAAATATCAATTTACTTATACCTAGTACATGCTTGAACGGAGTAGGAAGAAATTAGACTTATCTAGTCCTACCCCATGACATCATCTTACAACTTTTAAGTCCTAAGCAATATCTCTACATAAAAAATTATCCTCTACACCACACCAATAATATACTACAGAATTATTACAGAGTGTTAACATTCTACATAATTACATTCATAGATAATTATCTTCTACACCACACAAGTAATATACTAAAGAATTATTACAGAGTGCTAACATTCTTACCCCACACCCACAATGTTCCATCTGATTAGTCATTAAACCTGTTCTTGCATGTATCTTGATTGACACATCCCTTTGTACTTATGTTTAAACTCATCAATTCTAGTACTATTTTTTATGTCCACATTTAAATTATTCCATAGTTTTACACCACTTATGGAAATACAGAATCTTTTTTTGGTTGTACATATAGCATGAATTTTAAAATTTAACTGACCCCTTAAATTATGAATGAATGAATTCCACCAGGTAATACATTTTTCCTGGCTTTTTACATAAACACAGCAGTCTTATATCCCACTATATCCAAATATTTTAACAATTTAGACTGTATGAAAGCTGCATTGGTGTGATCCCTATATCCCATCTTATGCACAATTCTTATCGCTCTTTTTTGTAATATATACAATGGTTGAAGTGAGCTTTTGTATGTGTTTCCCCAGTTTTCAACGCCATACTCTAAGTATGGTAAGTGCAATGAAGAATACAGACTCCGTAGTGCTCTCCCGTCCAAAATATATCTAACCCTTGCCAATATCGATATATTTTTTGCTATTTTATGCTGAATATGTCTGATATGAGATTTCCAGGAAAATTTGTCATCCACTATGACACCTAGAAATTTGATTTCATATACTTGTTCTATATTAGTTCCCCCAATTTTCAATCGAAGTTCGTTATCTAGTCTACGATTCCCAAATACCATAAATTTAGTTTTACTGTACTGTACTGTAAGTACAACACTGTTGTCCAATCATAGTACAAACACCCCCTTTTTTGGCCAAAATGAAGTCTAAAGCCAATCTGTTTTGATATGACATAAGAGAAGTGGCTGCCAGTTGCTACTGAAATCCAACAACTAAATCTCTGGTAAGATTAGTGAGACGCTTAACATTAAAATGGACATAATTTATTTGATCTACATTTTTATTTATGGTTACCCACCAGAAGAGGGCAGACTCAAAACCTACAGCCACCTGATCAACTAATTTATATTCATCAGGAACACCACATGGGACACCTATTATCAATATACGTAAGTGGGTGAGAATTTAGCTGGATCAAATATGTCCTGCTGTTTTGAACAGTGTTCCTTAAGGGGATGACTAGATCCTGACAGTATATCTAATACAGAAGCATTTCCCAGGGTAACTGGTGCTATAAGTGATATCATTGTACAAGTACCAAACCAGTCAGGAGGGAGAGTATTAAGCAGTCTATGTCCACCACAATACCAATACACATCAGATCTGGCAAAAGTCAAGCGTGTTGCATTGGCCCATGTGGTGAGATTTAATGTAATGGTGTACCAATCTGAGGAAATGGTACCTAGATTAGTTCCTGTTGCATTAATTTTGGTTACAGAAGTATAATTATTTTTGACTGCAGTAAAGATTGGAGGTACTGCATCTCTAGGTGCCAATGGGTCATAAATTTCCAAATCTCTGTAGGCTGGTGTACTAGGGTTCTCAGTCATATGCAGTGTGTATAATTAGCATCAGATAAGAGAGAAGGCACTGTAAGCAAAGCAGGACAAGATCCTGCACATACAACACAAGAGGTGTTAACACTTGACGTGCTGCATTTTGAACCCATTCAAGCCAATAATTTTTTGCACAAATCCTGTTTCTATCACTAATTTTTTCTGCAGATCAGATGAAGTAGGAGTGTAGTGTGTCATCTTTTTTAGAGCCATCACGAGTGTA